CTGTGTTAGCCAGGATGGTCTTAATCTCCTGACCTCGTGATGTGCCTGCCTCGGCCTCCCAAAGTGCTGGGATTACAGGCATGAGCCACCGTGCCTGGCCTTTTTTTTTAAATTTTTGAGACAGAGTCTCACTCTGTTGCCTGAGATGGTACAGTCACATGATCTCGGCCCACTGCAACCTCTGCCTCCTGGGTTCAAGTAATTCTCATGCCTCAGCCTCCTGAGTAGCTGGGACTACAGGCACGTGCCTCTATGCCCATTTAATTTTTTGTATTTTTAGTAGAGATGGGGTTTCACCATGTTGGCCAGGCCAGTCTTGAACTCCTGACCTCAGATGATCTGCCTGCCTTGGCCTCCCAAAGTGCTGGGATTATAGGCGTGAGCCACGGCATCCGGCCAGGACTTCTGTTTTCTTTTCTCTTGGGTAAACATTTAGGAGTAGAATGGCTGGATCATATGGTAGATGCATGTTTTATGTTTTAAGACACCTCTGTGGAGTTTTAAAAATAATACCAGTGCTTGATTTCGAGCTTGTACCCATCTCAGTAAATCACCAACAAAAGTGGGCTGGCTTTGAATGGCAATACCCACCACCACTCCTGTAGGCGGCGGTTTGCCCTGCAACTTTTATTGTTGCATTTTCTGAATAATTTCTTTGAAAATGGTTAGGGGGGGATCCAATTTAAGTAATTAAAGCTCCTTATATTTGTATTAAAATGCTGTAGTGACAGTAGCGGCAAGGGCAGAAAGGCTGTGTGTAGTGAGAGTGGCAAAATGCTGATTGTCATTAAATTGGGAGGGGTGGGTTGGGCAAGTTCATTATTTTCTCTGTAATTTTGTGTATGTTTGAAACTTTAAAGAAGGGAATAGTGAAGAAAGAAACACTTGCTTTACATGTGATGAGATTTTATCTCTGTAAGTAGACTTTGTATGTGTGTGTATGTGGGTGTGTTTATTGTAGTAAAATACACATAACAAACTGGACGCGGTGGCTCATGCCTATAATCCCAGAATGTTAGGAGGCCAAGGTGGAAAGATTGCTTGAGGCCAGGAGTTTGAGGCTGCAGTGAGCTCTGATTATGCCACTGCACTCCAACCTGGGCAACAGAGCGAGATGCTATCTTTATTGTATTTATTTATTTATTTATTTTGAGATAGAGTTTTGCTCTTGTTGCCCAGGCTGGAGTGTAATGGCACGATCTCGGCTCACTGCAACCTCTGCGTCCTGGGTTCAAGCGATTCTCCTGCCTCAGCCTCCTGAGTAGCTGGGATTACAGGCATGTACCACCACCCCCAGATAATTTTGTATTTTTAGTAGAGACGGGGTTTCTCCATGTTGGTCAGGCTGGTCTCGAACTCCTGACCTCAGGTGATCTGCCCGTCTCGGCCTCCAAAAGTGCTAGGATTACAGGCATGAGCCACCGTGCCTGGTTGAAATCCTGTCTTTAAAAAGAAAAAAAGTACACATAGCACAAAATATACTATTTTAACTTTTTTTTTTTTTTTTTGAGACGGAGTCTCACTCTGTCGCCCAGGCTGGAGTGCAGTGGTGCGATCTCGGCTCACTGCAAACTCCGCCTCCCAGGTTCACGCCATTCTCCTGCCTCAGCCTTTCGAGTAGCTGGGACTACAGGCACCCGCCACCACGCCCGGCTAATTTTTTGTATTTTTCAGTAGAGACGGGGTTTCACCGTGTTAGCCAGGATGGTCTCGATCTCCTGACCTCGTGATCTGCCCGCCTCGGCCTCCCAAAGTGCTAGGATTACAGGCGTGAGCCACCGCGCGCGGCTATTTTAACTATTTTTAAAGAAAAATAATGAATTTGTGAAATTTACAAAATTTACAAAGTTTCAAAAATTCACAGTCTTTCTAATATATATATAAATAATACAAAGAGAGTTCTGAAAGGCTCTTCAAGGATCATAACCCATTGGTAATAGCTGTTATCCAGGAACGGGGACTGGTATTTGAACAAGGGAACAAAAATGATTTGAACTTTGGCTGGGCGTGGTGGCTCACACCTGTAATCCCAGCACTTTGGGAGGCCAAGGCAGGGTGGTTTACCTGAGGTTGGGAGTTCGAGACCAGCCTGACCAACATGGAGAAATGCCGTCTCTACTAAAAATACAAAAAAAATTAGCCAGGTGTGGTGTTGCATGCCTGTAATCCTAGCTACTAGGGAGGCTGAGGCAGGAGAATCACTTGAACCTGGGAGGCAGAGATTGTGGTGAACCAAGATCACGCCATTGCACTCTTGCACTCCAACCTGGGTGACAAGAGCAAAACTCTATCTCAAAAAAAAAAAAAAGAATTGAACTTTGTATTGTCTGGATTCCTTTACAATCAGAATTGATTCATATATTGTTTATGTAAAATGTACATATTAAAATATAAACAGGCTGGGTGCGGTGGCTCGTGTTTGTAATCCCAGCACTTTCGGAGGCTGAGGCAGGTGGATCACTCGAAGCCAGGAGTTCAAGACCAGTCTGGCCAACATGGTGAAACGCCATCACTACTAAAAACACACAAAAATTGGCTGGGTGTGGTGGTGCATGCCTGCACTCTCAGTTACTCGGGAGGCTGAGGCAGAAGAATCGCTTGAACCTGGGAGGTGGAGGTTGCAGTGAGCCACGATCGTGCCATTGCACTCCAGCCTGGGTGAAAGAGCGAGACTCCATCTCAAAAAAAAAAATGTATATATATGTGTGTGTGTGTGTGTGTATATATGTGTGTGTGTGTATATATATACACGTATATATTTAAACAAAGGTTTACAGTCAGTGTTTTTAGAGCACTTCACTGGCATTCCATCGTCTACAGTAGGGGTTAGCAAACTGTACCCCTGCCCTTATTATAACTATTTTAAAGTGCACAACTGACTGGCATTAAAGATGTTTTCAGTGTTGTGTAAGCATCACCACTATCTAGTTCCAGAATCTTCTGTCACCTCAAGTGGAAACCTTGTGTCCTCATCACCCATTCCCAGGCATCCACTAATCTACTTTCTGTCTCTATGGATTAACCTATGATGTGTGTGTGTGTATATATATATATTTTTATATATATATACTTTTATATTTATATGTGCTGTATATAAATGGAGTCTTGTAACATGTAGCTTTTTGACTGGCTTCTTTTGCTTAGCATAATATTTTCAAAATTCATCCACGATGTAGCATGAATCAGTATTTAATTCCTTTTATTTATTTTTTTAGATGGAGGCTCGCTCTGTTGCCCAGGCTGGAGTGCAGTGCCACAACCTGCAATCTCTGCCCTCCAGGTTCAAGCAATTCTCTTGCCTCAGCCTCCCAAGTTGCTGGGACTACAGGCGTGTGCCACCACACCTGGCTAGTATTTTTAGTAGGAACGGGGTTTCACCGTGCTGACCAGGCTGGTCTCGAATTCCTGAGCTTAGGTGATCCGCCCGCCTCGGCCTCCCAAACTGCTAGGATCACAGGTTTGAGCCACTGCACCCGGCCTTTAATTCCTTTTAAAAGATTTTGGTTTTTTTTTTTTTTTGTATAGATGAGGTCTCACTATTTTGCCCAGGCTGGTCTGGGACTCCTGGACTTAAGCGATCCTCCCATCTCAGCTTCCCGAAGTACTGGGATTACAGGCATGAGCCACCACACCTGGCGGGATCTGCCTCTTTCTATGGTAACCAATGCCTGTGCACTAGTCCATCGTTTGGAGATAATTGAAATTTAGCCAATGCCCTTCCAATGCGCATTCAGGTTGTTTCTGTGTTCTTTTGCTTACACCAATGGTACTGTCCCAGCTTTCTTGTTCGTGTAGACTTGTGCATGTGGGCAAAGAGTCCTGGGAGGAACTTGGCCAGATGAAAGGAAATGAGTATTTTAACATCAGGATAGATACACTGCATTGCCCAAAGTCGGGTTCATTTATATTCTCTCCAACAGTGTCTGAGTGTCCATTTCCCCACATCTTCGCCCACACTGGGTGTGTTCATTCTTTTCGATTTTATGGTATTTCATTGTTTTAATTATACAAGTAGCCCTTTCAGTCACTCCACTTTTTCCTTTCCATCTCGAATCCTTTAACATTGAGGTGTTTCTTTCTCTTTTTGTTTCTTTCCAGCAAAAGGAGGGGCATGGTTTGGATGGAAGCCCCTGGAAGCCTGGGACACTCCGGGAGAAGTCCAGGCAGACGGAGCGGAAGGTTAGCTCTAACCAAGACCCGGACAGCTGCCGCGGTGGAAGCTCAGTGGAGGCGCCGTGCCCTTCTGACGTCACTCCAGAAGATGATCGGAGCTTCCAGACTGTGTGGGCCACAGTGTTTGAGCACCATGTGGAGAGACACACAGTGGCTGACCAGTCTGGACATTGTCTCTCCACCACACCCCCTGGTGACACGGCCAGTGCCCGTGTCTCAGAACCCAGGCCGAGGCCTGAGATGGGCTCTTGGCTGGGCAGGGACCCGCCGAGGCCTGAGATGGGCTCTTGGCTGGGCAGGGACCCACCAGACATGACAAAACTCAAGAAAGAGAATGCCAAAGGGTTTGACAATCCCGAGATGGAGAAATTGGGACGAACCGCCCTTTTGAACGGTGAACTGAGACCGTTTCACACGCCTCTCCGGGAAAAATATCCTTTGGCTGAGAACCGCAATAATAACACCTTCCTCAAACACTGGGAAAATCCTCCCCCATCGCAGAGGATTGAGCCCAGGTATGACGTTGTGCATGCAGTGGGGGAGCGTGTGCACAGCGAGGCCGTCTCACCGGCACCGGAGGAGAAAGCGGTCACACTCCGCAGCCGCAGGTCTTGGCTCTCACTGAAAGACAGGCAGCTGTCCCAGGAGGTCACCCCTGCTGACCTGGAGTGTGGTTTGGAAGGTCAGGCAGGGTCCGTCCAAAGGGCCAGTTTGATTTGGGAAGCTCGAGGCATGCCTGAGGCTAGTGGGCCGAAGTCTGGGGGCAATTGCCTGTCGCCCAAATGGACAGGCGGGGCGGTGGTGAGCTCGCACAAAGCCACCGTGGGGGTCAGTGAAGAGCACTGTGCTCCCGGGGCCACCTCTGTCCGGGCTGTCAAGGCTGCCGTCTGGGAAAGCCAGCATGAGGGGCCAGAAGGGGCCAGAAGCAAGCCAGGAGAAGGAGCAAGGGGCCCACCCCAGGGATGCCCCCTAGATCCTCCTTCCAGACCTGCGAATGAGCCTTCTGACTGCCAAGCACGAACACATCCAGATGCATTTGCTGTGCAGAAAGGGCCCTTCGTTGTAGCTGCCAGGGAGGGTGATCCAAGGCCGGCCCAGGCGCCACAGCTTGCAGTCAAAATGCGGAAAGCCAGCCCCACGGACCAGAGAATGGACAGATGGCGGCGGCGGACTTTACCCCCCAACGTGAAGTTTGATACATTCAGTTCTCTCGTCCCAGAGGACTCTCCACATGTGGGGCACAGACGAACAGATTATGTGAGCCCCACAGCCAGTGCCTTAAGAAAACCTCAACTATCCCACTACATGGTGGAGACCCAGGAGGTTACCCCAGGCGCTTCATGGGATCAGACCTCCCCAGCAGTGAAGCAAGGGTCACCTGTGGAACCCAAGGCGACATTTTTTGCAGTCACCTATCAGATTCCCAGTACTCAAAAGGCAAAGGGTGTGGTTCTGTCAGGGGCTGAAAACTTGCTGGAACATTCTAGAAAAATCACTCCACCCCCATCTCCTCATTCTTTAACATCTACTTTGGTTTCTCTTGGTCATGAAGAGGCATTGGAGATGGCAGGCAGTAAAAACTGGACGAAGGGACGAGAGCATGAAAACGCAAGCATTTTAAAAACTCTGAAGCCAACAGACCGTCTATCATCTCTTGGGGCCAGGAGTCTGGAGCCTTTCACTGGAAGAATCATTGATGTGGATGCCTTATGGAGTCATCGGGGATCAGAAGATGGCCCTCGTCCTCAAAACAATTGGAAGGAAAGTGCGAACAAGATTTCCCCCAGCGGTGAAGCTCCCCAAACCACCCCGACTCTGAGGAGTCGCCCAAAAGATCTCCCTGTGAGAAGGAAGACTGATGTGATCAGTGAGACGTTCCCAGGTAAAATCAGAGACGGGTACAGATCCAGCGTTCTTGACATTGATGCCCTGATGGCGGAGTACCAGGAGCTGTCGCTGAAGGTCCCTGGGGAGGCTCAGGAGAGGAGGAGGAGTCCCACAGCAGAGTCCAGTACATTGCCTCGGGAGAGGCCTGTTCAGCCAGGTGGGGCGGAGCAGAGAAGGAGGAGCCTGAAGGAGGTGCCCGATACCGGGGGTCTCTGGAAACCGGCCAGCTTTGCTGAAATAAACCACAGTTTCACTCCTGGCTTAGGCAAGCAGCCAGCAGAGACCTCAGAGACAGCCATGGGCACCAAATCTAGTCCTCCCTTCTGGGCTCTGCCACCCTCGGCTCCTTCTGAAAAGTATCCAGGGAGGGGCTCTCCTATCTTTGTGGATCCCAGGAAAAAAACCTTGGGGTTCGCTGAGGATGACAGAAAGGCCTTTGCCAGTAAATATCACGTTGCAAAGTGTCAGAATTACCTGGCTGAATCAAAGCCCTCTGCTCGGGAGGATCCAGGCAGTGGGGTCAGAGTGTCACCCAAATCGCCCCCCACTGACCAGAAGAAAGGGACCCCAAGGAAATCCTCTGGGCGGGGAGAGGGCAGTGTGGCCCAGTGGGTTGACCACCCACGTGACTGTGGACGGGCGCCGCTGGATATCAAGAGGACCTACTCAGAGAAGGGGCCCTCTGCCAGCATCCGAGAGGGCCTGTCCATCATGCATGAAGCCAGAGAGAGGAGGCGAGAGCAGCCCAAAGGGAGGCCCAGCCTTACTGGAGAGAATTTGGAGGCCAAAATGGGACCCTGTTGGTGGGAGTCAGGGACTGGAGATAGCCACAAGGTAAGTACCAAGGCTCTTTTTAATTTTGTCAAACGTGGATTAAACATCTAGCCTAGGGGGCCGAAATTCAGATTTTGTGTGGCCCACACGGGTACATAAATGAGTGGAGTCAGGCTGGGTGTGAGGCTCCAAGGAGGGGTGTGGATTGCAGCAGATGGAGAGCTCTTGCCCTCTCTGAACTGGGAACTGCTGCTTGGTCCTACCTGGTTCTCTTGTGTGTTTGTTTGAAACAAAGAGTCTTGCTCAGTTGCCCAGGTTGGAGTGCAGTGGCACGATCATGGCTCACTGCAGCCGTAATCTCCTGGGCTGAAGCCATCCTTCTGCCTCAGCTTCCCAAATAGCTGGGATGACAGGCATGCGCCACCATGCTTGGCTAATTTTTTATTTTTTGTAGAGACAGGGTTTTGCCACGTTGCCCAGGCTGGTCTCAAACTCCTGGGCTCAAGTGATCCTCTTGCCTTGGCCTTCCAAAGTGCTGGGATTACAGGCGTGTGCCACCACGCCTAGCCCAGCTGGTTCTTCACAGGCAGGAATGTTGGCCTTGAGATGGCAAACCTCATTTATCAAGAGAATCTGAAAATATAGAGTTTTATGTGTAATCCCATTAGGAAATGAGGAGGCCTTTTTTTCTTTTGAGACGGAGTCTCGCTCTGTCGCCCAGGCTGGAGTGTGGTGGCGCAATCTTGGCTCACTGCAAGCTCTGCCTCCCGGGTTCACACCGTTCTCCTGCCTCAGCCTCACGCCCGGCTGATT